AGTTTAGATGTCTATAGTGTAGAGTTTAGAGTTTAGATGTTTATAGTGTAGAGTTTAGATGTTTATAGTGTAGAGTTTAGAGTTTAGATGTTTATAGTGTAGAGTTTAGAGTGTAGATGTTTATAGTGTAGATGTTTATATTTTAGATGTTTAGATGTCTATAGTGTAGAGTTTAGATGTTTAGATGTTTATAGTGTAGAGTTTAGATGTTTATAGTGTAGAGTTTAGATGTTTATAGTGTAGAGTTTAGATGTTTAGATGTTTATAGTGTAGAGTTTAGATGTTTATAGTGTAGAGTTTAGATGTTTGTGACAGTTTCAGTGCAGTTTAAAACTCACACTGATGCATTAACACCTGCAGTAAATCTGTGTGTGTGAACGTCAGAGGATTGAAATGCTAATCTGTGCAATGCTAATCTGTGCAATGCTAATCTGTGCAATGCTAATGGTGTTTCCTGATTGGCTGCACAGGTTTAAAAAAGTCACTCTGTAAGACACGGCTTTAATCTCTGACCTCGTCACACACAGCTGTTTACGCTAATGTTACACTCTGCTGCATGCAGATGATCAGATGCTGAATAAACTCACGCTGTTGTACAGCAGCTTCACCCGTAATCAGGGTTTGAGTTTTAACCTGCTGAAAGCGACTGCTTTTTATCCTCGTCATGTAAAAGCGTTCCGGTTTGGTCCTGGAGAAACTGTTCTGTCTGACTGAGTTCCTCTCCATCACGCCACACCTCTCCCTCTTTAACGCCTGATCCTCACACCTCACACCTTCTCCACCTCAGTTCCCCCCCTCAGATGACAGAGATGTGTGTTAGCGCAGTGGGTTAGCGCAGTGTCAGTGCTGAAGTCTGAAGTTGTGGGTTCGAGCCCCAGCAGGTGTAGGTGGTGTGTTCAGAGCTGGTGTCCCTCAGACCATGGGCATCTGGTTTATATCACACCGTACAGCAGCACACGGAGCCGTGACGAGGCCGAGTTCAATAAAGAGCCATAACCAGAGCCACAACACGACTCCATACACCTTCACTTATACCTCAGCCTTCTCCAGTCCTGACCAATCACAGCACTGCGTTACACAACGGGGGCGGAGTTACAGTACCAACCCCACGCTGATTAATTCCCTCTCACAGCACGACCCCAAGTGTCTTATTCCTCAGCAACTTATCAATTACAGTTTATTATTTATTAAAGAACAACATCATACTTTTATCCAGTTATAGTTACATTTATTCTTGTGCAGGTTAGTTCCTGTTGTCGCTTACGTTATAGCAGCTATAAACACTCGTTCCCTCACCAGCCTCTCTTTATTCTCTCTCTTCAAGTTAATAAGATAAAAATAATCGCAGCTTGTTACGCATGTTACTGAGAAACTGCAAAGAAGCGTAAACTCCTCTGTCCTGAAGATGTCGGAAAACTTAAAGTTACAGCTTTACCTCTGACTGTTACAAAGCGCTGACACTGGAGACTCCTTCCATAAATGTTAAATAAATTACAGAAAACATTTTTAATCAGTTTACGTGAAGCATCTGCTGTACGAGTCCCTGTGAATGAGCTGTTACTATAGAAACGATAACGTATTAGAGCAAGCGCATTAATATAAACCTGCACTACTGTCAGAGCTGCTGTTATAGAGAATTAATCAACACCTTCTGACCAATCAGAGTGCAGAACTGAGTATCTCATTTTTATGTCTGATGTTGGGTCAGATGACGGTTTTACAGATGTTCTGTCAGATACAAGCCTGTATATATATGTGTGTGTGTGTGTGTGTGCGTGCGTGTGTGCGCGTGTGCTTGTGTGTGTGCGTGCGCGTGTGTGTGTGTGCGTGCGCGCGTGTGCGTGCGTGTGTGTGTGCGTGCGTGTGTGTGTGCGCGCGTGCGCGTGCGCGTGCGTGCGTGTGTGTGTGTGTGTGCGTGTGTGTGTGCGTGCGTGTGTGTGCGTGCGCGCGTGCGTGTGTGTGCGTGTGTGTGTGTGTGTGCGTGCGCGTGTGTGCGTGTGCGTGCGCGCGTGTGTGCGCGTGCGTGTGTGCGTGTGCGCGTGCGCGCGCGTGTGTGTGCGCGTGTGCGTGCGTGCGTGTGTGTGTGTGTGCGTGCGTGTGTGTGTGTGTGCGTGCGCGTGCGCGCGTGCGTGTGTGCGTGCGCGTGCGCGCGTGCGTGTGCGTGCGTGCGTGTGTGTGCGTGTGTGTGCGTGTGTGTGTGTGTGTGTGCAGGTATCTGGAGTATGTTCGTATTCCTCACACGGAGCCTCTGGAGTACGAGTTTCGTTGGGGACAGAGAGCCGAGAGCGAAGTGTCCAAACTGAAAATGCTGCAGTTTATTGCAGAGGTGAGTTTCTCTCAGGACGGGTCGAGGTTAACTAGTTAACTGGTTATCTGGTTATCTGGTTAAGGTTCTGTACTAAACCCCAGACCCTAAACTCTCTAAAAACTCACATCTACTGTAAATGCTGTACATCACTGACTCAAGAGAATATTTACAGCTCAGTGCGAAAGTTTGTACACCCTACTTTAACAGATCATGTTTTCACACCCGTTCCTTCTTCATCACAAGGAACAAAAACGTTCAGAAATTATACATTAATATATAAATACTGAATATTTTCTAAATAGTGTAATAAAAATGTCCATTATTTTTTATTTCTCTTCCACCTCGTGCTCGTGTAACTGTGAACACTCCCTTTTTGATGTGACGTAAATATATCACAATACGTAAAGAAATGTACCGTGATATTTATGTTTTTTTAACAATCTGGTAGGAAATGAGTAGTGCTATGAGTGAAAAATGAACATTTCTAAATAATATTTTTGATTTAACATCTAAAAACTGAAAAAGGGAAAAATTCTGTATGAAATTTTATCGTGTGATGAGCTGCTTACAGTCCGAGATTAAAATATTGTAAAATATGTTATAAAAATAATCCTGGTGCTAATATAGCTCATAAAAGAATATTGTGATGTAATTTATTGTGATTATTGATATTAGCACTAATAACAACAGCAGCTGTAAGAGATGGAGTCACTGTAATATTTAATATTTAAACTGTAACTGAGTTTTTATCAGAAAACAATAAACAAAAATAAAATTCTGTTTTTTTATTTAAAGTGTAAAAAAGAAAAAGAGGTACACAGTTTTTTTCGCTACAGAGAACCTGAGGGGGTGAAAACTTTTGCACTTATCTGTGTTGATGTGTGTAATGTGTAAAAGTGTTACTGTGACAGTGATATTGTGTGTGTGTGTGTGTGTGTGTGTGTGTGTGTTTTACACACAGCTACATGATCAGGAACCTCAGTCATGGACCCAACAGTACCGAGAGGCCACGAGTGCAGAGAACAACCCGAGATAACGCAACAGGAGTGTGTGTGCGAGTGTGTGTGCGAGTGTGTGTGCGAGAGTGTGTGCGAGAGTGTGTGTGTGCGAGAGTGTGTGCGAGAGTGTGTGCGTGAGTGTGTGCGTGAGTGTGTGTGTTCGAGAGTGTGTTCGAGAGTGTGTTCGAGAGTGTGTTCGAGAGTGTGTGCGAGAGTGTGTGCGAGAGAGTGTGTGCGAGAGAGTGTGTGCGAGTGTGTGTGCGAGAGAGTGTGTGAGTGTGTGCGAGAGTGTGTGCGTGCGAGTGCGAGAGAGTGTGTGAGTGTGTGTGCGAGAGTGTGTGTGTGTGCGAGAGTGTGTGTGTGTGCGAGAGAGTGTGTGCGAGAGAGTGTGTGCGAGAGAGTGCAAGAGTGTGTGTGCGAGAGAGTGTGTGCGAGAGAGTGTGTGCGAGAGAGTGTGAGTGTGTGTGTGTGTGTGTGTGTGTGGTTTTGTCCAATACAAAACATTTATTGAGTCTTATGCAAGAAATTATTTAACTTTCATCCTTTAAAACTGATTAAAAAAAAAGTCTTTTTCAGAATTCTGTTTTGTTTTTTTACTGTTTGTGATAAAATAAAGCTGTGCCTCTTTATACCCAGTCATAGTGCTGTGTTTTATTATTGTTTTATTTTCTTTTGTATAGATGAGGAAAAGCGTTTATTGGGAATAATTAGAGATTATAATGATTAATAATTAATTAATGAGTGAGATAAAGAGTGAGATGATGTTTGGTCTGGAGGAAAAATCCAGCAGTGCACAGTGCTGTTTTATAATTTTTATTTAATTAATTTACTTATTTCCTGATTTGGGTAATTTATAATTAATTATATCTATGTATTAAAATGCATTAAAATGAATTCCCTTTTTATAAAATTAGAACTTTTTTGTAAACTAATAATCCCGGATTATGTAAAGAACCCTTGAAGACCCTTTTGCAGTAAGAGTGTGTGTGTTAGTTGGGTGAGTGTGCGCTACAAACTCCAGATTGTTGCTCATTATTTCCTTATTAACATCTAGAACCTGTCAGAAGATTAACATTTAACTTCTTATTAAAAATTAAATAAATTAAAAAAAAAAAAATTATTCAATTCAATTCAATTCAATTCAATTTTATTTGTATAGCGCTTTTAACAATGGACATTGTCACAAAGCAGCTTTACAGAAATAAATGGATTCACAAAAATATATTGTAAATATTTAAATTTATCACTGTGAATTTATCCCTAATGAGCAAGCCAGTGGCGACGGTGGCAAGGAAAAACTCCCCGAGATGATATG